ACCGACTCTGCTCTCTCTAGGCTGTCAGCACAGGGCAGAGCCCTGCGCTTGCACTGGAGAAGACCCATGTGGATAAGTGGAGGGGCTGGTGCATTTTGTCCCAATAGGACCACTTGTCCAGCGTGTGAGCTGATATCTAAACATAGGAGTCAAACACTTAGCCTGGAGCAACCCATGCCTGTATTTTTCCTGGCCAGAGCTGCATGTCCGGGGAAGGACTTGGCGCGGCCAGGCTGCGGAACATGCGTGAGACCTTCTGCCCTAATCATCCATCACTTTAGAAGACAAGACATTAGGTGGGATGAACCTTCAGTGGGGCCTCTTGACTGTTTTTCTTGACTGTGGAGAAACCCCTATAAATCTAGTTTATTTTTTTCTGAGCTGGAGATGAAGGACCTCACTTCTCAGGTAAGAAGAAACTGCCAGTATGGTCTGCTGCTCCTCTATCATCCTACCCCAGGTATATGAAATATGAGGTGCGATCATCTAGCTGCAGTATTGCTCCAGAACTGTGGCAGCAAGAACAGGGGAAAGAGCACAAGGCAAGCAGGATATATACATACTTTTTAAAGATAGCAGCTTACCTACTGTTTTTTTGGTCTCAGAAAAAAAGTGAGTCAAAATGGCTTCTGCGGAGCCTAATTTGTTATGTCTCCAGGCATAGCTAATTATCCTGACTTAGCCCAGCTCTGAATCCTTCCCAGGGGTTTTGGTGCTATTTCTTCTGTTTTGATTTATAAATTGTCTTTATTTTACTTTCCTCCCACACGTTCTGTATAATCTTTTTGCTCCCTGCCTTACTGAGGAGCCAGGAGCTGGTGTGGCAGTGCTATCACAATGTGTAGGACAGAAAGCGGATGCGTTAACCAAAGCCTTTGCTTCGGGTGTTCAGCAATGCTTTCTTCTGGCATCCACCTCATGGGCTATGTGAAACAGTCTCTTCTCCCCAGAGGCTTTTTTGTGCTGCCTCTTACTTCTGGGCTTACCTGCAACCATTCTTGGGGTAGAGGAGTTGTGAGGCTCGGGGCTGGCTCCATAGCTCAGAGAGCTTTGGTTACAGCCTTCATCCTGCAGCAAGGAGATTTCTGGCTTCTCCACTGATGTACCAGAACGAATTACAGTTATTTTCTGGTTCAACCATTCCCTTCACAGTTGACACAGTTTTTCTAACCTCAGCGACAAATTCTGTGGGGGAAGGAAATCCATCTGCTGTAATCATGGGCTGTCAATTGTGGTAAGCAGGAGCCGATACTGCTGTTGAGCCTGGGCTTGGGAGACCATCTCTGTTCAGGATGCTTTAGAAATGCTAGTTAATAAGTCCCCCAAGCATCCCATGGGGAAAATGGGTACTGTTTGCTTAGGAGACAGGACTGCCAAGAGTAAGCAGCTCAAGCAAGGCCAGCTTTGACTGCTAGAGCATGCCGCATCTTCATAGCATTGCTTTGTTTCCCGGCATACCCACTTGGTGTTTCTTTTTTTTTTTTTTTTTTAATGTGTGCATCTGGGAATGTTTTTGTCAACACTTCTGTGGGAGATTGTAGCACTGGTCACCCTTACAGCCCCTGGTGGAGGCTTAAATTTGGCTGTGTGTAAAACGGGCTGAGAACTGGGTGAGAGCCAACGCTGTGCCAGTCCCAGACCCTGTCTTCTGCACTGGCTGAGGACAGATGCTGAGGGAAGAGGATAAAACCAGGAAAAGTATGAAGTGATACTTCCTTGGAAGAGTCCCTCAACTTCCAACAACTTGCAGCTCAGGGATTTCCTGAATGGCAGCGGTAGCTCCTGGTGGATTTTTCTTCCATTATTTTTCTTCTTAATTTCCTTTTTGAAGTCATGTAAACTCTTAGCATCCAGCATATTCTGGGGTGGGGAGTCTCACCCCATAGCTGTGCATTTTGTGGACTATCACCTTTTGCTCTTTTTGAACCTACCACCTGCTGTCCTGATTTAATCCCCCATAGTTCTTGTGTCAGAAATGGTGAAGACTCATATTCTATGACACTGATATGTTTATAAGCCCCAGTCAGTCACCTCTTCCACAGGACGATGGACCCTAGTTCATTTAGCCTTTCCTCACGTGGAAGATGTTCCACACTTTTGAGCATCCTTTTGGCTCTCCTCCATGCCTTTTTCTGACTTTGCAATAGCTTCTGTAAGGGGAAGGGAGAACTGCATTTAGTTTTCAAGATATGAGTGTAACATTGATTTAGACACCAGTGTAATAACATAGCCTGTTCTCGCTTTCTTTCTGAATTGTTTTGGTGTGCTGGTTATATACTTCTTAGGGCCTAAAATCAATGGAAATATTCATTAAATTTTTAGTCAGACTCGTCCAATTAATCCTCAGGACTTTGGAGTCCTGACTTAGTGGAATTTCAGTGGTTCACAGGCTGGCTATAGTCACTAACGAGCATCATCTGCATACACCTCGCAATTACAATATCGCATGTGACATGGTATACAAGAAGGTGCTGAGCAGATCAGCGATTTCCTTACCAGGCATTGCAGGTGCACAGCTGAGATCGCAGCCATGTCGCTGCCATGACAGGGGATTAGGGCACGGGATTGCAAGGTGGGGCATGTCCGTAGCGGAGGTGCCATTGCAAAGCTACGCTGTCACAGCCATGCATGGCTGGCTGGGCCACACGATCTCTCAGATGGCTCCATGGCTGGTGCGCTCAGTTTTGGGCCCCAGACCTGGGGATGTGGCATCTCCATCATGCCCTTCTCCACCGTCACTCAGACACGTTAGATATATTTCTCTGCCTGGACTGCTCTGTGGTGGATCACCGACAGGCTGTGACTTCCCTGCATGCATACTGGTCCTGGAGCTTTTCTTGCAGAGCAGGTGTTGGGATGAAGAGAAGATGAGAGTTGAGGGGTTTGCTGTGTGCTGGTAACAACCAGGTCCGAGCCTGTTGTTAGCAGTCTGCGTGACCATGGCTCCTCAGAAGAGTGGCTGTGGAGCAAGGCAAAATTATCCTCCTTTTTCTCTCTAGGGAGAGCAGGGAGGCATGGATAGGCTGCCCTGATGTGCACCAGTCTATCCAATGAGTCCACTTCAGACCCAGCAAGGCCCTCCCCTAAGCCCCCGACACTAACACAGGATAACCTTCTTTCTCCACTTTCTCATCAGGAGCTTTGCCCAGCGCCTCCCATTTCATCCGTGCTTGGCCAGGGTGGAGGCTGCCCTTCCTGCTCCTCCAGCCTCTGAGCAACAGCAGCCGTACGTCTGAGTCACGATGGGCAAGATGGACAATACCTCCGTGGAGCTGAGTTCTCCCTCTGAGGTGAAGCAGGCAGCCCTGGAGGAGTCGGAGCCCATCGCCCCCGCGGCCGTGAGCATCAAGAAGAAGAAGGAGATCCCAGACAGAGGCTCCTGGAAGGGGAGGTTCGACTTCTTGCTGTCCTGCGTGGGCTATGCTATCGGGCTGGGCAATGTCTGGCGCTTCCCGTATCTCTGCGGCAAGAATGGAGGAGGTGAGAGAAACGCTCAGCGCCTGCGCTCATCCCTGAGCAGCCTTGTCCCCTGATCGGGCTTCGGTTTGGTGTGGGTCTGGGCAAGCGGCTGGTCCCCTGGCTGAGAGCTCTCCCTCATGACGTGAGTTATTAAGCTGTCAGGAGACTAGTTCCCATGGTCTGTGGGCTTTACTAGCAAGTGCAGGTTGGGAAGAAGCAGCCCAAAGAAATATAACAAGAAGTTTGAGTGTTGTCAAGCTTCTGCAATCCAAATTTGCAGGGCTACAGCAAAGAGTGTCTGGGACCTCATTTATTTACAAGGCTGTAAATAATAGGGGATATTCACCCAGGGTATGACAGCCCGGCGCAAGGCCCATCCTCTGTGGGGAGCAGATGTGCTGGGCTATGCATATAGGCACCCAGCTGGATGCTGGGGTGTTCCCAAGGAAATTAGTTTATAACAGCTAAAGGTGGGTTTCTCCTCAGTCTAGTGTATTCTCAAGGGGTAACAGTTTTGCATCTGAGTTTGGGTCAGATGTCTGAGGAGTTTTGATTAGAAGCTTTGCATGGACCAAAGCAGGGCCATGTGGACATATATGCAAGCATGCATACGTATGTACATGTACACAGGCACGCATGTGTCATCATCTACGGAAGTAAATGAGCTTTGACTTAATACAGTGCTGTGAGGAGGGTTACAGTTATCATCTCCATCTTAATGTTTGGAAAACAGAGGCCACGGGAGAAGGCGGCAGTTGACGAAGGACTTTGTGATGCAGCTGATAGCAGTGCCCTCCTCTGCAGGCAGCTAACACCAGCTTTTTTAATTCTTTTTATTATTGCCCCACTACATCCTTCCCTTGCCAGTCCTCAGCTGAGACTTTGCCAAACCATTGCAAGGCTAGAGAAAGGCAGGCAGATGGGGAAACAGTGCTGGGCTAGAAATCAAGAGATCTGGGAGATCAGCTCCCTGCCTAGCTACAGACTTTCTGCGTGGCTTGGATCAAGTCAGAAAATACACTCTTGTGCCTCAGCTCCCCTCTAAAATGATGCTATTTCTTCAGCCTCGGCAGGGAGATGCTTTTGTGGAGGGGACTGTGGGCTGCTTTGATGCCAGTAGAGCAGAAGCTCTTTCTTCTCCCCCCCCATGCCCAGCCCTCCCTTTGTTTGTGCCTGTTACTAAAATAACCTTCCCTCCCCCCTGAAGTGCTGCTCACCTCCTTGAACCATTTCTCAGACTTCTCACACAAGTCCAAACCCCTTCACCTCACCTTTAAGGCTGTTTACATAATTTTAGTATCGCCTGCTAGTCTTCCCATGTTGCTCTTTGCTTCCTTCTTAGCTTTTCACTGCCCAGACTCGCTGTCCCCAGTGCCATGTTGATTCATGCTGCTCTGAGGGTCTCTTCTCACGCTTCTTCCCCACATCTTTTTTCTTTTCCTTTTGCCTTGAATTCCCTTTTCAAAACCTGCTTTGTCTTTGGCTCTCATGACTTCTCCTCATGTCGCTAGCCCAATTCTGCTGTCCAGGCCGTAGGTGGTGTAGGATGCTCTTCTCCCCCCACCCTAGGAAAGAGGAGATGGGTCTAGCTCCCTGCAGCGGTCTGTCCAGGTAGGTCCATGGCATTCAGGGGGATCTTGGGCCTTTCTCTGAAGCACATGGGGCAAATCCCAGTGGGAGACTGGACAGTTACCCATTTTGACAAGAAGATTTCTAATTCAGTATGTCATTTTGTGCAGAAGCGCGAGCGTGCGGCTGAGCCGAGTGAATGGGAATCAGCCAGGTCTACTTAGGGGAGCCTGTGCCACCATCGCCGGAGCCACGATCCGGGTCTGGCATTTTTATCTAGCCACACTCTGTCACCTGACTGCCCTAGCCCTTCTCATACAACATTAGCCTGGTGGCTAAGTCCCAGGACTGGTTTTTAGCCCAGTCTCTGCCCTGTGATTGCTGCACCATCTCAGACACACTGGATCCGTGCTGCCTGTGGCTCTGTCTCCTCACAGATAAAGGTGGGGATGACGATATCTATAATTAGATGAGGAGTGTTTTGAAGCTAAAATCAATCCTATTTATAAAGTCAGCTGAGATCCTAGGACGGAGGGTGCTGTGGAGGTGTGGAGCGCTATTATTAGCATTAGCAATGGCACACAGGGTGATCTCCGCCCCGGCAGCTGCAGGCACGCAGAGGGATCAGCTGCCTGTGAGCAAAAACGCCGGACAGATGAAATGCGGGAATCGGTGCCTGCCTCCTCTCAAAGCCCCCCCTGCCGGTTCGTGCCGTTCATGGCAGCCTGTATCGCTCGTTCCTTTCACCCCTACCCGGTCTGGCTGTTCACAGGCACGACTGTTCCTGCAGCCGGCAATAATGAGTGGCAAGTGGAGGCTGCTGATGCCGGAGACAGGCAGGAGAGCTGACGCACGAAAGCGTCACTGGGAGCCGATGCGGAGCAGCGAGGAAGGGTCGCACGGCATCTGATTCGCATTCGGATGGGCACCGTCTTGGCTCTGCCCCG